GGTCCTACAATGAAGTTGTTCTACGTAGTACAAGTTAGGGCTGGGCAATATATTGATATTACACCAATATTATGATATGAGACTAGAAATGGTTTCAGATTTTGGATATCTTAATATGTTGAAAACTGTCTTTTCCTGGTTCTATAGGCTGCATTACAGCAGGTTAGCAACTAATGATTATATTTTATTGTCAATAAATCTGTCTTTTTTGTTGTTGTTGTGATTAATTCATTAGTTTGATCTATATAATGTAGGAAAAAGTGTTGCAGTGTTTCCCAAAGCCCAAGATGGCATCCTCAAATGACTTGTTTGTTTGTTTCCTGTCTAAATTGAGTAAAGAATCAAGTAAATATTTACATTTAAGAAGCTGGAATCACATAATTTTGATTTTTTTCTTAATAAACTACTCAAATCGATTAATCACAAGCTCTACATTACAGTGGTGTAATTTTCTGAACCTACCAGACTGCTCTCTCTATACCTATCCACTTTCTACAACTACAGTCAGTGGTCGAATTGTTAATTTTTAACAAGGGGGATGCAATGTAGCTTTGATTTCTTTGCGTGCACACATCATCAAATATGACAGCACAGATGTGCAAAATTAATCAAGATAAAGAAAAATGGGTTGACCTATACCTGCTGCCTTTAAAAAACACAAATAATGCAGTAGTATTGCTATTGCAGTACAGACAAAAAACATTTTAGAGTATAAATAAGAGTAGTTCTGAAATAGCTGTGAAAATTAATCTTAGAGTCACTCTTATCCTATAGACATTTCCTTAGCCAGTTATAATTTGTCCTTACCTGTGAAGCCTTGGGCTTATAATTGGTGCTGCTGTCAGGTCCCTGTCCTGATACCTGCCTGGTTTCTCCCTGTCCCTCTTCTATCTATTGCAATGATATAGATAATAAATGTGCAAAGCAAAATTTATAAATACACAGTCACTTTTGTGCTCTAGATATTTTCTCTCAGCCAGTAATAATCTCTCCTTACCTATAAGGACTTTGCATGATCATCCTTGCCGGCCTCTGGTCCACTGTCTCCTCCCTGACCCTGCTCTTTATATTGTGGCAATAAAGATTTAAAAAATATTTGCAAAGCAATAGTGAGCACAAGTTCTTATTAAGGAGGAGTGGGTTTTTTCCTAGAATGAAACTAGCTAGCAAGCGATTTAACATAAGTAACAATAACATTAGTATTCTTGTTAACTAGCTTAACTTGATATATTGGCATCTATTAATTAGTCATCATTTAACTAACATTATCTACATGCAACAGCAGTACTCAACTTACATGGTTTGTTTGGAAGAAACTGTGCAAGGTTTTTTGCTTCTTGCTGGCTGGTTTGCTGAACATAGTTAACACTCATCAGCACTGCCCAGCAGCACACGTCTTGTCTGTGTGGATTGACTCTGATCACAACATGACAGTGTGTGTATGTGCCTTCTTATGGTGCATTTAAAGACGGCTCGGAACAACACGTTACCACATGTTAAAAATGAATTGGATGGTGGTAACGGCTGTAAAAAGTGCGGTGGACGGAGGGCACAGATACGAGAAGTGTGGTGGACATGTCCCCTGCGTCCCCCCCCCTCAAATTAAGTCCGTGCCTGCACACACAGATCCTAGATTAACAAGGGGGATGCTTTTTGGTCAATTTTCTAACAAAGGGGATGGCATCCCCCCTCATCCCCCCTCAATTCGACCACTGACTGCAGTTGTTCTATTATTTGCCTTTACCCACTTAGTAATTACATTTAGACAATTCATGATTATTTACAAAAAATTCATTCTGTAAATATTTTCTGTAAGCACCAAGAGTTACCCCTAAAATATCTTCGCATCATCGATATAAAGGAGTGACTTCCTTTCTGCTAAAAATGTCCTAGATATGATACATTTGAGTAGAAAAAAGTTTGTCAATTATGTAGTAATACATACACTCAACATAGGACTGGGCAATATTGATATAATATTAATATTGATGTTGTATTTTTTATTCGTACTTTGGATATTGTAAGGTGATGTAATTTTCTGAACTTACCAGCCTGTTCTGGCTCTTCTATTAGTTGCCTTTACCCACTTTGTCATTATATCCACACCACTGATGATCTTTTTTCAAAAATCTCATTGTATAATTACTTTGTTAAAGCACAAATAGTCAATCCTACAACACTGTCACATTATTGATATTGAGGTATTTGTTTAGAAATGTTGTGATATTTGATTATCCCCTTTTTGCCCAGGCCTAACTTGTCAAATTCAACCTGATTCAGTATCATGTGTTATGCAGTGGACTGTAAAAATCTGGCCACCATGACTACCAGAAATATTCTAGATATAATATTCAGGGAGCCAGTTTTTTTTTTTTTTCTTTTCCATCCAGCTGATGAAGATGCCTCAGTTCGCATAAAATGTAGTTGACACACTGAATGGAAACACAGTCAACGCAGGCTCATAAATAGAAGTGTCGGTACAAGAGCAGAGCACAGGATCATCAGTACCCTTTGGGCTTGATTCACACACATACACGCACAGCTGTAATAAGTGGCACATTGATATACCGAATGGCAGGAAGACAGAGAGCATCATTATTGGTGCCATCTTCTGCCTCCATCCATTTAACAAATCTATTAGAGAACATCACACACTGAGAAAGAGCAGCGATTGTGCAGCAATCTGACAAATGGACTCCAGCAGGAATGACTCATCAGTACAGAAAGTACAAAGAGCCTCTGATGCACAGTCTGCATCTTTGTGCCAACATCATTTATGTTATATTTTTGCCTCTGTGTGTGTGGCAGTGGTAGCGGCATGTGTAATGAGCTGACAGAGCTTGGTGATTTCCTGTCTGGCCTGTAAAAGCAGCACAAGCCTCTTCCTGTATCCTCCTCTGTAGGATCCCACCTGGGGCACACACACACACACACACACACACACCTACACACATACACACACATCGGCATCACATATACTGTCTGGCAGCTGCAACTAATAATTCACAACAGGAGGAAAAAATCCCTGTGTTACAGATTCTCTCTGCTCTTCCCTCAGTGGTACTATAGTATTCAAATGGCCTTCAGTGGGCGGTGAGTGTTTGTCTGACTCTCTCAGCTCTCAGCCCACACTCTATTAAAACTACCGTCCAACTTTAAGCCTACGCAGTGAATAACAAGAGTGTCAAGCCAAAAAACACAAAATACAATCCATTGACCATAATTCTATCAAGTTCAATGAGTTGATTTGTCTGAATATAGCAGAAAAAAACAGCATGTTGAGCTTTGCATTCAAAATATCCAGGATGTGTGCACAGCAGGGGGGTCAAAAATATTGCCACAATACAGGCTGCACTCTTGCACTGTTTGTACATCTTCCTACGACAAGTAATGCACCAAAATTGGTACATGTTCCATATAATGATCGGCCAGTAATTTGTGCATAACCCACGCCTTTTAGAAGGCTGCAATCACATAACCAATGTGGTGATTGGAGTAAATGGTCCTCAGTGGTCCAGTTAGGAGGCAGGTTGGGGACGGTGGGTGGGTCACAAAACACAGGACTTTCCTCTGGAACTTCCCCCAGCAGACTGCTGCTCAGAACCATTTCAAGGGATATATTCACCATGTGTCTTTTCCTAAATCAAACCATAGTAACTTTACTAGCCTAAACCTAACCTCTGTAACTTTACATTACTTACAGAACTTTAAATTTAGGAGGTAACATCATTCATGACCTGCTAATTCATTGGATATCATATAAGGATATGTTGCTCTATGGTAGCTTAATTATGGACATTATGAGCATTTATAAAATGTGGTAACTTGCGAGAAATTTGTCAAAATACTGTTTCATGGTACATTTCTATGCCTCCCTTGTGCATTTTCAACACTATTTACCACATGCCTCCGGCAGGGAACTTGACTTTGCAGTCAGAATCAGCAGCTAGCAATTATAATGCCAACCATTCCTTTACACAAAGTAAGCGCTAAATGAAACGTGAGTTCACAGAACACAGTCTCACTCCAACCTCGTCACATACTGATGTTTTGGTCATTAACTTTCCACGTCCACATATGACGTGCAAGGTACCCTGGGTGCGTTGGTTGTTGATGTTCTGAGACACCATGTCAAGTTCTCTTCTTTCAAGATACACTACAGTTTTCACAGGTAATTTAACATTTACATACAGTCTCTTTCAAAATAAATGCACTGTACAACAGTGCAAATTGATGTTTTTTTTGTCTTTCAACAACAAACACACATGGTTGGGTTTAGGCAACAAAAGGAAGTGGTTAGGTTAACGAAAAAAAAAACAGGGTCTGGCTTTAGAATCTTACGGGATAGAACACCGCTCTCTCATGTGAAAGTCAGTGTTTGTTGGACCCATCTACCACCCCTCCCGCCTGCCCAGTTGGATATTTGCCATCTTAATCTTTCCTCCTGATGACGCCAGGCGCTGTATAACCATATAACTATATTAAAACTCTGACAGATTTAGTATTTTTATGCTTTAAGTATTATCAGATTTAAAGATATGACAAACAGCAACAAACAGCAGTTTCAACCCAAAAACAGGTCTGTCTCCAACAACACCAACATTTGTGTATAGAACGCAAAACAGATCCTTCTGTTGCAATGGGAAGTCTAACAAAATATATCCTGCTACAGAAACAGCTTTTATTGACCTCCGAGAGACTTCCGTCATTTTTTTTTGTATCTGTAAACAATGCAGTGCAACTGCTTTGAAGTTTGATACAAAGTGTACCTTCAGGCTGTTGGAAACACTTTCATCAGCTGAAGGAAAATTTAGCAGGCTGGTTGATAATATCACAACAACATAATGAGATTCCTAATAGTTCTGCCATGTGGAGGGCACTTCAGAAGAGCAAAACACAGCACAGCACTGGCAAAGGGACACATACCAATGCACACAGCTTATACAGTGGCTTTCTGAGCACATCCACACACACACACACACACACAGCCGTTATCCTACCTCTGGTGTTGGTAGCCATGTCTGCGACCTTCTGAAAGGCATCCAGGAAGGCCACAGCAGCCAGAACAGTGGTTCTAGATGAACAGAAAACTCTTGTTACCTTAGATAAAATGGTATCATAGTTATAATGTGTATATTGAATGGTCAGGTTTTACACTGGTAATGCAGCAAAGGCACATTTGATTTGGTCAGTGAATTTGAAAATGGTGAATTTCATCTGTTAGTATGTTGCTGCATCCAGTTGATAGTGTTGTTAAGTGTCGTCCACACCAAGAACAATAACTATACACTTATCAGTTTAAAAATCGGTCCAGGTTAAGTGGATGGAGGAGTCCACACCACAACTATACAAATGGTATGACTTTTAGAGTGATTTAAAGAACAATAAAATCACTGGTGGCTCATCAAAATCCATCTGAATTTACAGGGTGCCCCATTCAAACTGGCAGATAACATTGTGCACAGACTCATCATTGAGGTTCAAAAAAAAAAAAAAAAAGCAGCCCTGTTTGATAAAACAGTTTTAATAGAGACACTATCAAGAAGGACATCTATGATGCAATCGGGCTCATCCTTGAAGTCAGTGGTAAATGTTTTTTTTTATTATTATTATTAGCAGAGATGAAGAGACATACAGCAGTAACAGGTCATCAATATCCATTTACCTAAGCTGATGATACAGCTGGAGTGTGCAGCACGTGCTTGGCGCCACTGTTTACAGAACATTATCATTCATCAGTGTGGATGCTCACATTATTATCTTTATAGTTATAGCTCTTGGTTTGGATGGCCCTTCATCCATCTATGTAGATGGTAACTGCCCTCATCTATAAATCAGTAACAAGCATGTTTTCTTTGCATATTTGCTAAAGAAACCATTTTTTTAAAATTTAGGGGTTCTTTTTGCAACGGAGGTCCAATTCAAAGCAGGCCTGTATCCCATAGCTTTGATACACTTTAAGGAGCAACAAGTCTTAAAATTCCTGCATTTATATGATCACATATGGTGGTCCAAATGTTTTTTATAGTCTGGCAAAAATTTAATTCTATGCAAATCCCTGAACCTACAGAAATCACTGAATTCTTGCCAATTCTAGGAATGGAAGCGCCAGTCTAAAGCAATTGGAAACAGTATCCAAACATGGTACAGACAGTGTCTGAGGGCACATTTTCTTTTTCCAAAATTCTCTCATCCAATGCAGCGTAACATATTCTCTCATTATTTTTGCTCAGTAGTCAAAACACAGTGTTGCACTTTGGAAAGACTATTTATGTATTTGTGTAATTTTGTTATGTTGTCAGAGAAACTTACCGGAGCTGGGAATGCAGCTTGGTGGCCTTGGCGCTGAAGTCCTCCCACACAGGATAGGAGCACTGGCAACACACAGACAGTGAAATACACATTAACATCGACAGCAATTACATATTAATAAAATGTATGTGGCATACCCAAACCTTACTGCTCACGTTACAGCAGGTGCCAGGAAAGAGACAGATACTTCAGATGTGGGGAAACATTTTGAGAAACTAAAATGACACTGGCTTGGATTGAGTTAAGTCAGCATAGTCGGAGGCAGACGATCTAAGCACGTGCATATTACACAATGTTAATGTCTCTCAGCCAGCTGATTGGATGTTCCCAAAATTTTAACATCAAGTCACTTTGCTTCATTCTAAAAACTCTGTCCGCATAGAGAGATTTTGGGCACTGAGTTGCATTTAAACTGGATACACAACCATTTTAACTGCCTCCCTTTCTCCTCTCTGCTGTATTATCATCCTTTCTACCTCCTAATCCCTCTCACTTCCTTGTATCTTGGAGTTACACTTCCAAAGCCATTTACTGACATGACATACAAACGTAGTACCTGGTTAAGCCAAATCATAAGAAAAGACATTTACATGGTAAACATTATAGTGTGACATTCACAGTACATGTACTGAAGTATTGTAATTGTACTTTACTTGAGTATTAAAGGAGCCAGTTATGCTAATGTATACTTCAACGCAGGTCAGAGGCAATCATTGTCATTTAAACACAGCTTAATTGTTCTGACAGCTGTAGTTATTGGTTATTTTGCAGATTCAGATTTTATTAAATTTGATACATTGTTATCAATGAGCCAAAGAGGATATACTGTGAAGTTGTTCAAATTTGTAGAGCTCAACAGTTACTCTAGTCAATAGGTCGATCAATTAGTTGATCAACAGTTATTTTTTGAAGTCCCCCTCCTCTCAAAAAAAAATAAAAAATTTTCTTCTCATGAGGCTCTTCACTGTGAAGTTTGAGCCTCAGTGTGCAGGATGATGTTTGTGCTGTCTTTGTCAGTAGAAAGCTATTTTCACTTTCATCTGCTGGAGGGGAAAGTTTCTCTGTGCTCACCTTACAGTAAATCCCTGTTAAAGACGAGTACATATGAGCCATTTGGTGCCAGTCATGATCCAATATGCAGCTTACACAAATGTCATGTGGAAACATGAAGCCTCTGGTGCAAATACAAACTGAGAACGGAATTATCAGTAAAGTCAGAGACATCTTAAGCCCAGAAGTTTCAATTCTGGATTTTGCAATGAGGGAGAAGAGGTATATGTAATTTTAAGATTTTTTTTAACAAGGTCATTGAACCTTTCAGAATAAAATCGTCTGAGATACAAACTGTTATACCAAGCAGACCATCTTCATATGTTTCAATCGAATCTTTAAGCAAAAGTGTCATATTCAAACATTCTCTGATTCACCTTCTTAGATGTGACATTTGTCGCCCTTCTCTGTTTTTAATTAGAAATTAAATAGCTTTGGGCTTTTCTGGGACATTGCACAGATTAAAACAAGTGATTTCATAATGTCACTCATGCATGGATGGATTACTGCACAGGCGTACGGGGCACAGGCTGAGGGCCCCAAAGTGTTAGGGTCCGTCCTGGCCGTCACTTGCAAAATGTGAGTCAAATTAACAGGTACCAACTAAGAAAAGACTAAGGTCCAGAAAGAGATTCAAAAGAATTGCAAAGATACACAAACAGGCATACCAACCTCATCGAGACACAAAATGACCTCAAAGAGACACAAAACCACCACAAAGTCTGTGTGTCTTGCTCCTTTGTAAGAGACGTGGTGGGACCCTTTGCATATCTGTGCCCAGGGGCCCGTTGTCTCATAATCCTCCCATGCACTCTTAGCTCTGGAAAAGTGTGATTGGCATTTTTCCATTTTTCTTTGACATTTTTAGACTGATCTATTTAAAATTAAATCAATAATTGTTAAAATCAAAAATAAATTCATCCAGTTGCTACATATATTATATAAAACAATATAGCAGTATAAAGAAAATATTCTGAATAATAGCTAGTTTCATTTAGAATACTTTAGGTACATTTTTCTGATAATATATTTGTTATTTTACTTAAATAAAAAAAAAAAGTTGCACTGAATATCAGTTATGAAGAAATATGTTTTTATTTATCCTCCTTTTTCAAATTAAAACAGCTTCATACAAAACATTTCTGCATCACAGTCTTTGTTCTCCTCCTCTACTTCTGTAGGCTTAAAACATATCTCTCTACCCTTCTCAGCTTCTGCCATCAACCTGATTCCCTATTTTATTTCCACAAAAGCACACACCCCTGCCCACACTCTGCTCCATTGGTACCCTACATCTCCCCCTTTTTTCACCCCCTCTCCACGTCTTTCTTCATCCCCAAAAACAGCAGCCTCCCTCCCCTCCTCTCCTGCCTATGCAGCCATTTAATCTATCTACCAAAACATACACACATATATATTCAGATCACTTGACAGCCACTGGCATCAGGCAGCATCAAAGGGTCTGACTGGAGCAGCCAGGATTGCTAACACAATTCAAAGCTGAAGCTGTGTCTCTAATGGATGCTGCTCCCACATCCTCCCACCCCTCCTGTACACTGGATGACTGTTCTATCACACACCCCCAGCCTCAGCACATATTACATTATACTTGATCCAGGTTAACCTATAACCCTGTTAAGTGCCTGCAAATTGTGTGCATGGGGGTGGGCAGATTTGTGGGCTCTATTATGGGCTGTATTTATACAATATACACTATAGTATGAAGTCCAATATCAGAAACAGAAATATATACATAAAATCTGCCAATATTAGAAATAGTAACTTGTGAAATTGCAGAGAATAACAAAAAAATAAAAGCAAAGGAGGACAGGGGGAAGAAAATCTGGGTGTCTGAATGTGTGTGTGTGTGTGCGTGTGTGTGTGTGTGTGTGTGTGTGTGTGTGTGTGTGTCTACACTGGGGGGTGGGGCATCCTGTAGTGATGTCAGACTGGCACAGGCAGTAAGGGCTGTATACTCTTTGATCTGGCCTGTTTGATGTGGCTTAATTTGGTCTGAAATCACAGTCCTATTTCCCCTTGGTACCAAGGCTACCCCCTCCTCCATCCACCGTCTACACACACACACACACACACACACACACATATTCACCCTGCTTCCTCGCCTTGCAGGCCGTTTGAAGTGCCCCGCGCCCTCCTCCTTGCATACACACACACACACGCACACACACACACACACACACACACACTAATACACATAGACACGAGCAGCCCCACATCTCATTAGCATGTTTTGGGCATTTCAATCCAGTAAAAGAGCCTGGTGGCAAGTGACAAAGTAATGATTGAGTGTGTATGTGTGTGATTGCTTCCTGCTCCTTTACCTGCAGGTCTTTCCCCACTGTGTTAGTGTGCTGCTGTGCGGCATTGTAAGAAGTCAAGACATAGACGACTACCTGAAAAATTTCACTTTGACCAAACCAAGTTAAAAGTCACCTGCTAAACTCACTTTAATGTGACGGAGTAGGGAAGAAATGCAGCAGAACTGTGAACATGACAGAACTGCAATTACCAACTCCAGTTTGGTGCCTCCACAAACCAGTCAAGTTCCATTTCACATCCTTGTTTGTCCAAAGTCACATGTAGACAATGCTTCGAGTGGTGCTGCAAAGAAGCTACAAATTCTAAAACATAGGTACTTCACACACACTTTCAATTTGACGGCACAGAGGATCTATACAATCAATACAGTGGCAAGGTGGGCACCCAAGATAAGTGTCACCAATTCAGTATATAGTAAAATGTCGGCCCTTCTGTGCCTCAGTTATGGTGTTGATTCAAGGCCAGAAAAGTGTTTTTGCTGTCATAGAGAAGTTGACCTTTGACCTTTAGGATATATATATAAATGTCATCACTTCATCATTTTAACCTATGAGACATTTGTGTGAATTTTTTGTCATAATTAGCATATGAGTTATGGCCAAAAACATGTTTAGTGAGGTCACAGTGACCTTGGCCTTTGACCACCAAATTCTAATCAGTTCGTCCTTGAGTCCAAGTGGACATTTTTGCCAAATGTGAGGAAACTCCTTCAAGGCCTTCTTGAGACACTGCGTTCACCACAATGGGACAGACAGACAGATGGACAGATGTATGGACAGACCCACAACCCGAAAATGTAATGCCTCCCTTGCCTTGGCTATCGTTGGTTTGAAGGCATTAACATACAGCACACATACAGAATATGTACAGTTGGTCTAGAGTGTACTGTACCATAAATGTATGTTGTATGTGTAAATGTTAGTTATATTGAAATTACATGTCATTTCTAGTATGCATGTAAGCAATACATATTCTCACTCTTCGTACATTATCACCATTTGTGCAATTTGGTTTTATTCACCTCAAACAAAAAGTGAATGTAGTGCCTGTACAGACATAAGCTGTAAGCTAGCTGGCAACATACTTACAGACTGAGTGTGGGACTGTGCCTTTGTTTGTCTCCCAAAATCAAATATCAATGTTATTTGTCAATGACCTTTATTAAATATGATGAAATTAAACTCTCAAATTACATTATGAAGTAATTCTAATTGGAAGTGCTGTAGTATAGAGAGTATGGATGGTAAATTGTTGACTGTCTTGGAACAACCAATCAAAGACTTTGGCTCTGAGGGAACTCAGGACATCACACAGAAAATTTATCATGATTGGTTATCTCTGGTGCACCACATAAATATAGTTATTATCCATTTAATACTTTTTCTTTTCAGTGTTCCTTTGATGAAACTTTTAAGATCTTTGTGGTGAACTGGGGTAATCTTACAAAGATGGGGCCTGTCTGTGCAACATCAACGATCTGCTTTGTGAATTCTTTTGAAATCACTTTTGCATTTCAGAAGGTTATAAAGCTCTCAGCCTGCAAGCTCCACGCTCCATAAATGTGTCTGTGAGTGTGTGTTTGTCTCAACCAGAGAGCGTAAAGACCGCAACCAGAACCACTGTGCTCACATGATTGTAAGACTTGGAATATCACGGTGGCCGAAGGGCAAAT